GTTATAAATAACACATTTAACTGAACTAAACTATGCATGCCTATTTAAATATATTTACACATGGCTTGTGTATATCGTATATATACATATATACTATTCATACCTTTTGGGGTAAAAAAGTGCGTCTTATACACCGAAAAATACGGTACGTCCTTTCTGTCATACATGAGCGTCTCGTTCTAACTGAATACTTTTTTTTTACATGAGATTTAATGCATGTTCTTTCTATCATACAGAAGTGTCTTGTTCTAACTGAATACTTGTTTTTCATGTAACAACTAATCCCTGTAACTTGTCAGGTGAGTTCACTCTCTTAAGAAAGAAACATACTTCTTTTTTTCTTTATGATAATATCTATCAGAGAAAGTTATGGAATTACACTTGAATTAGATTTAGTCTAATAAGAGTTTCTACTCACAAGAGCAAACTGAAAACGTTAATAATTCCTGTAAACTTAGATATGACATTAGAACTTATACACCTAATCCAACATGAATCACGCAAGTATGTAGGGGGTCAAGGGTGTTCAGACGAACCCCCTATTTTGTGATGTAAAAAATGATGCTTATATAATTAAAGCGCAGCTGTTTACGGTATTTAAAGTTTTCAACATAGTCTACATTCTTCTGATGAAGCATTTTTTTTTGGCTTGAAATAGTCACATGTCCCAGACCCCCGTAGCATTAGCATGCTTTGCATGCTGATTGTGTTTCGCACAGTATGTGTTGGCTTTTGATCTCACAAATATAGAAACAATCAAACTCTTCAAACATTCTGCGCACGGGCCTGTGAATACAGAGGGCTGAGTAATTTATATCAAAGCAATTTTGAATACGCACATCAGCGTGTAAGACGACAACCATAGTCAATATAAAGTCGTAGAGGGATGGCACGTATCAGAACTACATTTTAACATTGCTTGGCTTGTTTTTTTTTTTTGTTTGTTTTTTATAGTATGATGTCATCGAAAATGAGACACTTTGAGGAAGGGTGTATAACCGCCCTTTCAGACGCAAAATGTTCATACGTTCACATCATGAAGATGTATTTGTGATTTAGAATTTCAAAAACGGGAATATCCCCTTATACATAATGACATTGAAAGAGACCTGCAACAAGTTACTACAGCCGTGGTAGGTCAAAGTGCAGCATCTTGTAACATGTGAGAATCCACAAAGGTCGGTGACAAAAGTTGTCCACGTGTTTCAGACAACAGTAGCGAACATATTCAAGAAACATCCTCGTCTGGTAATGTGACACAAGTCAGGTGTACACATGTTGCATGTGCGCCGGAGCAGGTCCAGCAGACCAGACCAAAATTGTAATGTGACAAGCATCACGTGTCGGTATAACATAAAAATGTGCTATCGTTTGCAATAAAGGAATGATTTCTGTTTGTTTGTTGTTGTTGTTTTTAATTTTGCGCAAAGCTACTCGCCGTCCCTAAGTTGGGAATTATAGACTATAGGGAAGGCAGTTAGTCGGCAGCATCCACTAACATCTCTTGGGCTGTTCCTCTTTGACCTAACAGTGGGACTCAACCATCACCTTCGTAACACATCCACGTCTCCAAGGTACAATAAACGAAAACCCAAACTAATTAAAAAGGATACGAACGTTGCTTATAGAACAGCAAACCTGTGTAAACAAAGTAACAAAACAAGGACACGCAAGTAACGTTGAACAACAATAG